ACATTCAGAATCGTAGTGGCTTATTGAATGCGATGTGGCCTATACAATGACTTGCGGGGGCCAGCCGATGTACAAGTCAGTGTTTTATCCTCCCAGACGGTACCAATTTACGGGTAGAAGGCTTGGTTGGCCTGGGCGGGAGTCGACCGGGATTCGAACCCAGGACCGCGCGAGTGGTGAGCGCGCCACTTGTCACTACACCACCTCCTGCCTTTTAGTTATTACAACCTTGAAATTTCGGTCTTCTCTTTCTCTGCAGAAACTTCGACTGTGGGAGTTATTCAGCTCAGTATCACTCGAATATGGTACTCGTTTTTGGAGCAGGCACTATTCGGCTTTAATAAGCGTCAAACTAGTAGAAGCTGTTTTTCATAGAAATCGAAGAGGTACCGTATACTGGGGCTAGTGGGCATCGTCATTCTGGATACCCTCATTCTTAGCGCCTGTGCAATCTGAGACGAATTAAGAAATGTGAGCACCAGAACTCTCTCATGCTCCTCTGGGGCCTGTTACGAACCTGTTCGTAAAAAATTTTCCAGCTAGCCTATGTGCTGACAATCCCATGCGCTTCACAAAAAGGACCAGACCCCCGTGTGCGGGGAGAGAGGGGGATTTCATCTGCTCGTTAAGAAACCCATTCTCTCTGGTACAAGGGAAGTACTGGCTCCGATACTACTTCTTGCACCAGGACGCTACCTCATCACCCTTTTTTATGCAGTTTTTTCTACAATGCTCCTTCTTTTCGTTGTTTTTTTTACATATCCTCCTTTTCATTCTTTACCGTACCACTTACTATCGCAGTCTGTTGCTCTGAATTATGCGGTGAATCCTCGGGTGAGATTCACATAAACGATAGAGCTTTCGCCCTCGATCAAGCCCACTTTGAGATGCGACGAGTGTTCGTCTTCCATTCAGAATCGTGAAAGGCTTATTGAAGGCGATGTGGCCTACATAGTGACTTGCGGGGGCGAACCAGTAGAAGTATGCGCTTTTATCCCCCAGTCGTACTATTTCACCTTCCACGCAAGGTAAAAGGATTGCTTAGTCCACGCAGGAGCCGATCCGGGATTTGAATCATGGACTAAGCGCGTGATAAATGAGCCCCTTGTCACTGTGCCACTCCGACAATTTAATAAACGAATAATAAAATTAAACATACCGCTAGACATTTCTCGATACCACCGAAATTGGACCATCGAAGACTACTCACTCTCTCTCGCCACTTCGCGAGAGCGAATGCCTTGAAGCTCCTCGCGCGATAACAGCACCCAACTCGGCAGTTCTTTGGTCTCGCCTTCAATGGAAACGGTTGATAATTTACAGCACAGAGAAAATTTCAAAAATACGGCAGGCAAACAGACAATAATTTGCGGTAGGAGCATATCAAGTGAAGGACGTTAACATCATTGATAAACGGGATGGACAACGGCCCTTTGTCACAGGAGGTCACATTCGGAGCCGCACAAAGTATGTAGCGCGAGCCCCTTACAGCCGAGATCCACGGCCTAACAAGCTGCTGCAAAGCACTAAAATGACGGTGACGAGCACTATGTGACTCGGACTTATTACCTATCACATCCAGGAATCAGAAGAACAGCCGGTACGCAAGGCACGTCGCACGCTGGGGTTCATCAACGCATAGGAAGTTTTTAAAACGACGAAAATTTTGCTGATTCTTGAATTCTACCGTTTCACGCGAGTTACAAAGCTTCTCGGAGATCGTTTCCAAGTACATACGTTTGATGCGGTGCCAGCCTATTGAAATAAATGGTCCCCCCCCCCCCCGATAGTGGCAAAAACTGGTAGAAAAGAGCTGGCGCCGCGCCAAAACCGTATCTGCGCAGTAAAGCTTCCATATAACGCACCGAGAGTGACTGTACTTCTTCTACTGTTCGAAGCACCAATTTTACTTTTTTTGGTAGATGACCGGAGGAGATCAGCTTGAAGGTTTTTTTAAGAAATAGCCGCGTATCAAGGCGTTATCTAAGACCACGACGTTCTCTGGCCCGGCCGACCGCTAACTTAATACGATGAAGTAAAAGGTTTAGCATGAAGGCTCCCCCACTCCGAGGGAAAAAGACACAACAGACGACGCAAGTACGACATGAGGACTGCTGAAGACGCTTTCCAAAAATTCTTGTGCACTATGGACGAGAGGATCCTATCCATCCAATAGAATATCGTCAAAGTTTGTAAAGTACCCACCTTCAACGCCAACAACATATTTGATACTCGCGTTGCGGCTACGATACCATCTTCACATACAATCATGGCCTCTTTTAAATCTTCTCGTCCACCTGGAATCAGGAGATTCGCTATCTGACACTGATAATTTCGGAAAATAAATGATATAAATTATATGGACCTTAGATCTTTGGTACTCGCCTTTTTTATCGAATGATTCCCAGATACTAGAGATCAGTGCAGCAGATATGTTCGCGTGGTCCTTGCTATCACCGTAACCATTATAGGCTAACAACAGTCCTGAAAAAGGATTGCACTATTCGTAAGCGACGCTCAAAAATCAACACGACCGGGAACACTAGCCGCGTTCATTTACTCTTACTTCATTACGAGTGGGAGGGAAAAACTTTATGCCCAAGCTTATGGAAGGAAAACTTCATCCTTGGATCCTAAGGTGAAGTACGTCACTCATCTCAAAGCGCCTAGTTTTATGCAGGGATGATCATCTCCCGTCAGGGTGCAGCACTCTTGTACGAAACTCATCAGTTCATTTGGGGGGGGGGGGAGAGGGAAGCGTATTTGTACGCTTATACTGTGTGAAAGACGGAAAGCGAGAAGCACAGTGGTCAAAGAACACTATGTAAAGAAGAGCGCGCAGATGATAGCAGAAGCAGTCGAAAAGCCGATTTCAAGCAGATGAGGACGTGATTTAGTCCAAGAGCCTCACAACTGACTTTTGCGTAAGGACTTCTGGCTAAATAAACTCATTAATGAAGGAATGAATGACGCCGAGCATACCTTCACCGGTTGAACACCAATGCTCAAGTAACTTCAGCTGTGTTCACTTGTCCCAGAACTTCCTCCAAAGCTTTCTGACGCAACATCTGTATGAAATTCAACTTTTGTATACTTACAAAAACTTAACAATCCTAGATCTCTGAATCGCTAAAGTATGGAAGGTGAACACCATGTCCCACAGTGCTACAATAATCTCTCATGGTCGTATCAGGCCTATCTATCGACCGCGAAACCTCCTCCTTCCTCCCTTCATTCATTTTCCCTTCCTTCTTTCTCTTCCCCTTCTTCTTGGTTTTTCTCCCTTCAAGTGTTTGGCGACAAAGATGCGACGAGAAATTTGCGTTTGGACCTCAGCGATGGAATGACGAATAGATCGCCCGAGCTTGGGAATAGGGATTACTACATCGGTGAGAGGAAGAAGCAGATACTCGTGATTGTCCTGCCCTCAATCCGCGGACCCGTTCAGTGCCCCTTGCAGGTCAGTAGTGCACCTGTGAAGTCAACTCCACCAGCCGTATGGAAAGGACGAAATATTCATAACCGCACGACAGATTGTAGAAAAAGTCAATTTCTTGCTTCAAATATTTATATACACGAGTACCAGGACCAACAAAAACAATCAAAGATAAACAAAAATAAAATACAAAGAACGATTCTTAAACAATGTGTCACTCCGTCCAACGGTGACTGCATGTGGTATCCACGCATACATAGTAAAGCCTCATCTCCTCCTAAATGGGTAAAGCTTAAAATACGAAGAAACGACTTTATTCATCTTAGCTCTCGATTATAAGAAAGGATAAAGTTAAGCACTATTCAAGTACAAAATAATAATTGAGCAGAATTGAAAGGAACCTCTATTAGGTGCAAAGAATTTTGCCTAAAATGGAGCAATGACGAGAGAGGGGTGGATCTCTAAGAATGATGAATCCTAATCATTCACGCCTGTAGAATCTTTCGCATTAGAGCTTTCTCAGTTTCATATAAGCAGTCGGCGCTGTTCGGCTTGGAAGGGACTAATCTGCACTTCCACTAGTTCCTTGTTCTACGGCCTTTAGAATGACCGTGGAACTTTGTCAAGGGTAAAGGAAGCCGCTGATATTGCATAGCCTTACAGGAATTCACAAATCTCCACAGAGGTACCATCGGCAGTGATCGATGGGAACCAGCAAAATGCCCCCACCTAGCCAAATTGGGCCAGAAAATCCTTTGTAGGTTCACATTTGTTGAAATAGCGCCAGAACTGAAAAACGAAGCGAAGAATATCACCAAAATGCAAATTAATGGAAGATACACTTTCCCTCAACTGGGACCCAAACGAGACTAGCAATCTCCCAAGTTTAGAATGGAGGGCTCTTGTGATCTCTTAGAAAAAAAAGGAAACACAAAAAGGAAGCACTATCGAATATTAATCCAAAAATGAACCTTTTTATTCTAAGCCTCACCTCAGCTCTCCTGGTTTGAGCCTGGAAAAACACTGCTTGAGTGCCACCACACTTAGGACATGGATGATCTTCAGTTTTCGGCAATGTGGGATCGTGTACAACATCAGCACAAATCTGGGTCAATTCACTGAAATTCACACAGGTGTACGAATAAACTGGAGAAAATGCGGCGCTAATGTAGTTGGAAGGGGGAACTAATAAAAATACTTCTGCGTTTCTTCGCCTTATCAGGACGTAGTTTAGTGGAGATGATGACTTCTCAGCGAGATATCCCTCGGTGGCTGCGATCATCTGGGCTCTCCCAAGCCTTCGTTATATAAAGGGACACAGAGGTCTGCCTGAATGCCTCCCCCCCCTCCCAAACCACGTTAGCGACGAAAATACTGTTACAAAGCAATAACGGACGTGGTGACTTACTCTACTTCGTGTACAAGCTTGTTCACATATATGCACGGATTGTCGGCAATTTGCTTGTGATCACAATTTCTACACGCATACATAAGCTGGCGATGTTCCTTGTCTTCTCGAGGATACAGCATATTGTTACTGAAAGCAGTACACGCTCTGAAGGAAAAAAAGCAGAAAAACTGTGGAGAACTTCTGGAAAGGTACAATTCATCTGACTTTTTTAGTTTAGAGCTTCTACGTTGGAAAGACTGAAGCGGAACGAAAAAAAAATTTAAACATGAAGGGCGCATTCCTATCTATGCTCAACAACTGGAACAAAAAGTTCAACCCTGGTGTTTTTTTCCGCAGCCAAACAGCAACCCTCTCTCCCCAATCACATTACGCCAAGAGAAAATAAAATATATCAAAACCGATGAACTGTGATCTAATCGGTTCGGTCTCATTAAAGGTTGGACTGAAAATCTAGAAGATGAGATTATTTAGGTAATGAACAGTCACCGTCAAAAATTACCCCACAAAAATGTGCAACTCACCATTCTGGACAGAATTTGATGCCAACAAAACCGGGCCCACTCATTATGTCGGAGGTTAGTGTTCTGAAACATCGTATCTCATTATCAGGGTCCCATAAACAAGCGTGCAGGTTTTGGAGCATATGAGGAGTTACAATCAAATTCTCTGACAATGCAAAATCTTGGGTGAAAGTGACTGAAATTGTACAACAGGTA